TGACGGAGGCGCTTCGGGGCTGGAGACGGAGTTTGAGAAGGGCACAGGAACTCGAGATCGCAACTCCGGACGCCACCTTGTTGCTCAGAGCGCTGGACAAAGCTATCCGGGAGACTTTGACCTCCCCTGAGTTCCAGGTGAAGCGAATGGACCTGGATGCCTGGAAGAGACACCTGCTGAACGGGCATCTGCCCTATATAGCAGAGAATGCAAGTCTTGCGTCATCGCCGCATCACGCGGCAGGGCTCAGAAGAGGATCCCACATGCAGACGCCTATACGCTGTCGATTGACACCGCTGGACCGTTCGAGTTGGCAGAGGATCAACTTGGGGAAGGGCCGGTACCTGCTTGTGGGCGTCTACCTTGCCCCGGTGACCAAGGACGGCCAATCCCTGATCCCGACCCATGAGGAGGACGAGTTGCTCGGAGGGAGATGGACCGGAGCTCACGGTGGTCGACGAGGAGGGGATGGATCATGGCCGGACCCGTGGCCGGGCTTGGACGACGAGAAGGAGTGGTTGTCACGAGTGGAGGTGGAACAGGACTTCCAAGTCAAGCAGGTGACGTTTGCGGAGGTCATGGAGAATCGAGGAGGGTCCGCTGTCCTGGAAGCGGTGGGGAGGATGGTGGCGAAGCTGAACTTCCTTGGCTTCCCTCTGAAACGACTCCACTCAGATCGTGCAGGTGAGTATCAAAGCAGAATGTTCGACAAGTGGATTCGAGACAGAGGGCTGTGTCGCACCTTTACAGATGGCGACAACTTCGGAGGCAACGGCGCAGAGTGTGCGGTGGCACAGTTGAAAAGGGGTGCCAGAACCCTCCTGGTGGCTGCAGGGCTCGATGAAAGCTACTGGTGTCACGCCTCGAGGCACTGGGCTGAAGGACGACTCCGACGGCAACTGGAGTCGATGGGGTGCCTACCTGGATGATGTCGCCCGTATGGAACAGCTTGCCTGTCGACAGCTCCTGCACAAAATATCCAGGTGTCGTCATCGACATCGTGAATGCCGGACATAGTACCCTCACCTGAGTCCTCGTCGTTGACAGGTACTTCTGCCGGTCGCTGTAGAGCTTCCTCTTAGCCCAGACCGTCTGTCCGAAGGGCACTATAGCTCCCGCCGTTTCGACATGCCGGAGGGGGTGGAACTTCCAGATCGAGAAGCTGGAGAGATCCATGAGGTCGATGACCGGGAGGACGTCCCTCAGCCTCGGAAGAGACCGGGACGGACTCGAGGAAGCATCAAGCTGCTTCAACTGGAGGCTGGGACAGGGGCCGTTGACTGGGGGGAGCTGCAACATCGAGGAGCGCAGATGTTGTCTCACGAGCTTCAACTGCTGGAGGAGGACACCGCTGAGATCAGGAACGAGAGATTTCTGAAGGCTCTCACCATGGAGATTGAGGAGATCTGCCAAGAGGCCGTCCGAGCGAACCAGCAGGCCAAGGAGGATTTGATCGCTGAGATTGAGACGAAGGCGGAAGAAGCTCCGGAGTTCCTCCAGACCCGGATGGTGGGCCTGTCAGAAGTCAGGAAGAACATCGAGGAATGGAAACCATCCATGATTAAGGAGTACGGAGCTCTGGTGGAATCTGAGGCGGTGGAGCCAATCAACAGGGAGAAGATGATGGAGATGAAGCAGGAGGCTGTGAACACCGGACGGACCTTCGACATGCCCCCTGCGAAGGCCATCTTTAGCAGAAAAGCCGGCTCAGGCAGACACAAATGCAGAGGAGTCGCCTGTGGAAATCACATGAAGCTCCGCAGCGACGAAAGCACCTTCGCATCGGGTGCAGGAGGACCTGAAGTACGACTTCTTTTGAAGGTCGCTGCCACCAAGGGCTGGAGTGCATCAACGGTGGACGTGAAAACCGCCTTTTTGAATGCTCCGGTCGACAACTCCGCTGACCGGGGGGTGGTGATCGTGGAACCTCCTCGAGTTTTCCGTGATGCACAAGTTCTCAGGCATCCAGAAGAGTTGTGGTTGGTCCAAAAAGCGTGATACGGACTAACCACGTCCCCTAAGGACTGGTGCCTTCACCAAGACAGGTGCATCAAGGAGTTCAAGTGGAAGAGGGAGACCACAACCTTCAAGGTCGAGAAGACGGCCCAGGACGATGTGTGGGGGATCTACAGTCGGCAGGAAGAGGAGAGTGACTGGAAGCTGGCAGGTTTGTGTGCCACCTATGTCGACGACATCATCATCGCGGGAATGGAGGAAGTGATCGATGGCATGCATCAGAAGATCCGGGAGAGCTGGAAGGTCGGAACCGACCTGGATCCGGGCAGGAGGAGACCCTGTGAGGATTGAGAAGAAGGGAGGTGACTTCGCCATCCACCAGCGAGCCTACTTGGAGAACCTCTTTCTGGAGTATGATGAGCATGGAAAGGCGGCGTGCTTCTACGACCAGGGGCACTCGAGGATTTGGATATTCTGCTCACGAAGAACTATATATTGTTGGGCAGAGCCAGACGACCCGACCTATCAGCGTCAAGAGCTTGGCACTACCCATCCTGTTGATCGCATCTCGGTGAGGGCGATGAGAGTGAGCTCAAGTCCCGGGCAGGCATCCATGGCGTCGACTGGGCAGACATCGGTATCGGAGGCAGTGGCTAGCGACCTTCGAGTACCTGATTCGGGACTATGGTGCCGAGGAGCCTATGACGCAGAGACAGAAGGGAGGCGTCGTGCCAGTTTGGGCTTGACCATGAGCGGCTGGGACCGCTACATGACCCGACGAGGACCACGGCGAGACTATGGGGGAACATGGGTGATGATGGACTCTGATGGAGTACACTTCGTGGCTCGTGATCCAGGCGATGGCCGAGGACCAAACAGGAACCCAGAGTCAGAGGCTCAAGGGAGTGGAGGAGATGGAGCACAACCTCAAAAGAGGGTGACACCCAACCTGAAGCGCACCAGTGGAGGGGACTTCCAAGGGTGGAGTCATGGAGACTGGTCACAACGGTCGAGGAGGGCATTGTGCTGGGAAAGTGGTGCCATGATGAAGAGATGTGGGACTACTTGAGAACGCCGGGCTTTCAGAAGGGCTTCATCAATGAAGCGGTGCTGAAGGTCATCTCGACTCCACCGCGACGAACCGCGGCCAAGGACTCGTGGGACTACCTGATCGACTTTGAAGGAGGGAAGAAGATCGGGATCAGGGTCCACTACCAGGAGAGAAAGAAGCTGTATGACTTCGAGAGCGAGACACTGCTCGAGGAAAAGTGGGGAAGGTGGAGGATGACGGTGGCGTGGCGCATCACGTCCAAGAGGAAGACGATCCTCGTCGACGAGAGGAACGGGAAGAGGGGCTGCCTCTTGGACCTGTGGTGGGGCTACACCGTGTTCAAGACGGTCTGAAGCGAAAGGGTTTGAGCCCCCCTGCAAAAGGGGATTTTGAAAGTTTTCCCAACCGGAGTGCACCGGCCTTCGCTGAAGCATCGAAGGGGGAGTGCTGGTGCACAAATCGAGAGTGTACCAGACTATAGAGGTTTGAACAGAGTGCACAAATAGAGAAGTGTACCAAGTTGACCAGTGCGAAACGCACAAATCTGAAGTGTACGACCGAAGCCCTTTTTAGACGGAAAAAGGCTGCCAGTGGGGCAGACGCGAAATGCACCCATTTATTTGTTTTTCTAGCGATCAAAGATACGCTTTTGAGCGCCGCGCAGCCCAGACCAAGGTCAGACTGGGGACCCAAGCGACAAGAATGCTTCATGCATTGTCCTTTTGCAAAAACACTTCTTGAGTTTCCTCAGCACCTCGTTCACTCCTGTTGCCAAGGTTCCAACCGTTTGAAGAGCAAAGACCCAATCCAGCAGTGCATTCAGCAGGTGCGACGGGTAGTCTGGGGGGATGCCAAAAGCATCAGTCGTGTTTCGAAGCCCCTTAAAGAGAAAAAACGGTTTACACAACATGAGATACTGCACCCATGAATGATGCATTTGCCACCAGATACGGGGTTTTCAAAAATTTCCTAGCAACCAATTGAATAGTGAATAGTGCAAGCGCTACTTGAAGAAACATGAACTATCCTGCATGCAATAGGGCGTGTTAGTACCTAATAGAGCTACTGGCTAGTAGCCTATACCTCTTCCTATAGTGACCTACCCCCCTGGGCACAAAACATGTAGCGGCAGGCCCGTTTACTTTTCTGCCGATTCAGCGAGTTTTCAGGTCGCCCCGTGGCAGTGCCCCGCTGGCGCTTACGCGCTCTTCTTCACCACTGGCAGCGGGCATCGCGGCGTCGTGGCTGGCAGTGCCTCCAACGACTACTGCAAAGGGTCGCGCAGCAGGGTCTGCGAGCTGTCCTGCGAGCATGGCGCAATCTGGTGACGCGAAAGGTGGGTGAATGCATTAGCACCAACGTGCCTAGATAGATGGTGGGTCTATGTTGTCGACCCTATTGCAAAGTTGTCGCAGAGTACCCCACACTAAAATGCAAGCCAGCCACATTTTGGTTTCCTCTGCCATCCTGCAAGGTGCTTCTTCTGCAAAGACATCAATTTGGTGAAAAACTTGGTGACCTTCGCTGGCGGCACTCTGGACTCCAAGCCTTTCATGCCTGGAGGGCCTGCTCACAGAGCCAAAGAGCTCAAACCAAGTTGATCCAGTCAGATCCACCAGATCCATCCCCTGACCCGAATGTTTTGTGCTGTCGCTGGGCGCTCCGCTTTTGGCACATCACCGTGGTCAGCAGTGCATCGGCCAAGTCCTTGCAGCAGCGTGCGATGCGCTTACGCCTGGAGCAGCAGGCAGCCGCGCACCTCTTCACAGCAGCGCGGCAGGAGGAGGTTGAGGCCCGGTGCCAGCTGGACGCTTTGAAAGCCTGGAGAGCAGCAGCTCTGAGCGCTGTGTGAGAAAACAGACCAGACTGCCTGCCCAATGCCGTGATTTTAGGGAAGTAATTGCAAATGGCAACACTGGGTTGATTTCTTAAACAAGATCAGTGATCCTTGATAAGTGTAGCTGATTTTGAACTTTGAACAACAACAGCCCAGGTGTTTCTGATGATGCCTTGTTCAAGGATGTGACCCGCATGTACCTCATGCTTCATGCGGACCATGAGGCTCGCGCGGCAAGAAGCAGTAAGGTCGATGCTGGGACCAAACTTTTTATTTACACTAAGATGCCCAGAGCCAGCAACCTTTTGATTGCCTTGATTGCATTGTGGTAGACATTGAGGCACGGTCTATGGAGTAGTTGATCATTGCACATTCACCACACCTCCTCCAGCCAGTTGTGATTGCATCGTAGCGTATGTACTTCACAGCTTCACTCGACATCATACCCATGGTGCCAACATCGTTTCCCATGCTATGAGATACCACAGGCGGGCAATGTCTCGGCTCATACCACTCACCTGGTTGGCAGTGCCTTGAGTGATCCGTGCTCTCCGGCGCGACAGAGAGTTGCTGTCTACCTCAATGGAGCAGTCAAATCCGAATCAATAGTATGTGTTGTGAACTCTACATTCTTATCATTCTTTCCCAAATGTGTAGCAAGGCATGTTCTTGTTTGGACCTCGCTTCGTGAGGTTTTTCCGTTTGCGTCACCGTTGCCATGTGGGTTTCGGTTTCCGGAGGGATGTGCTTGGAGTGTTTGAGTGCGTCTGGATTTGCTGTTTTAGGGCCTTGTGAAAAGGTGCAGTGTTGCGCAAAGGTGCCCGACAAGAGTGTTAAGCAAAATGCACCAGAAAGTGTCACACAAGAGTGCCCCAACAGATAGATAGATCAGCACTTCAAATACAGAGATAGACAGAGCGAGTGAGAGGGAGACAGACAGACAGGCAGGCAGGCAGGCAGGCAGACTGACTGACTGACTGAGTGAGTGAGTGAGTGAGTGAGAGAGAGAGAGTGATTGGGAGAGTGCAAGCGCTTCTTCAAGGAATCACATGTGAGAGAGTGAGCGAGTTTTATTTCAAGGAAGCTCTCCACCCGCCCTCAGACGGGGGGAGCTTCCTTGAAGCGTGAGCTTTCCTGCGTGCTTATTTGGTCAGCTATCCTGCCCTTACTTGTCCCACAACCTTGTAGCGGAGGAGAGCCATCAGGCGGCACTCTATGTCTATAACTGTGCAAGAGTGTCGAGAGAGTGTCATGCAGTCTCCAATACAAGTGCCTCACAGGAGTTCACAAGAGTGTTTTTCAAAACACGTGTATTGGAGATTTTCATATTATATAGTTTTTTTTATATTTTTTTTGTGAGTGTGTCACTAGTGTTCTTTGTTCTCCAATACAATGTTGTTCAAGAGTGTCCTAGAAGAGTGTGGCAAAACGTCATCCTACATGAATGTTACAAGAGAATCACCCCAGAAAAGTGTCCAAGAGCGTCGCACCAGAATTTGTTTGACCTCCCAAGGTTCGCCGTATGTGTCAATATGAGTTTCATTTTTCTGAAATGTGTGATTAGTAAGTGTGTTGTATTGGGTGTGGTGGGTTTTTATCAATCCTTTTTTGCACCAGAAATGAGGCAATACCACTAATCTCTAATCCCTGAGACTTTGGACTCTGCTGCGGGAGCAGAGGGAGCAGCAAGGCTCAGTACAAACATGGGATCAGGTTTCCCTTGGGTGCCATCAATCGACTATTTCTAACATACTTGATTATATAACATACTATTTCAAGTGGAGCCCGTTTTCGAGAGTTGTTGTGAAACTATGCAGTCCCTGCTGCGCATTCTGAATCGCCTCCGCAGGTACTATTCCTATGCTGCTGGAGTTTGTGGCTTGGCACTGGCCTTATCAAGCTTTTGAGTGAGTGAGTGAGTGTTCTGAAGCAATGCTTGACAAGGCTGGACCACTGCACGGTCTCGCCAATCAGGAGAAGCCGCGCCTGCAACATCAGGGTTTTAGGAATAGCGCCTTTTTGTTTCCCACCTCTTGACGGAAGATAATCGTTGCATATGGGACCTCGGGCTTAGGCTCAGTAAGCACAAGACACGAAGAGCAACACACATCAAGCAAAGAAAAGCAAGAAGTACAAAGAAAACAACATAGAATGGGACAGGTTACTACCAAAGGTTCCCAAAAATCATAGGCACTACCGAGGTCTTCGATGTTTGAAGTGAAGGGGACCTGTGTAGAACACTATAGAATTTGATGTCATTGTGGATCGTGTTGTATAAGGGGATATGTATATAAGCTATATAAGATAATCTCTGTATTTTTCAACCGACAGGTTGTTGAGTCATGAAGCTGACAGGAATGCCTTCGTTGGTTAAAGAACACCAGGCAAGAACTGGGAGGTCTGGGTCCTCAGAGCGAAGACCTACCTGGGGCCGCGGCAGGCTGCGGCAGGCTGCGACACATTTCAGGTTACTGAAAGCTTCTCAACATATCAATTTTCTCTTGTTTTGTGAACTCTTTCGTTCTGCATGTCTGCCCCGCATATGTTAACATATGCTGTAGCTAGCATGAAACATATTGTGGCTTTTCCTTTAGCTTCATAGCCAAGGCAAGGAACCCACAGTGGAGGTGCTGACACAGTTTGCAAAGGCCGCAGCCTTGGCGCTACTAGTGTTTCAGCAACATAGACAAAGCCTCCGACTAGTGACATACTTTGCATGCTTTGCACACCAAGCCGGCCAGCAGTTCTGACAATGGA